GGTGACTGATGTGGTTACCGTCGATGTGAGCAAGAAGTTACAGGGGAAAACACACAATCTCTTTCGGCAGGATGATCCCCAGTTCTTACCGCAACTCTAGATCCAATATTTCTATTTTCCTAACTCTCATCATTCACTCAGAAATGAAAACATCCTAATGTCAGTCAAGTCTATCTTTGTTAACAGCGGTCAATATTTACCACCCAACTACAACAGCGATAAAGTTTCTGGGTCTTCATTTTTATTAAAGACAGCCTAAAAGCCCAGTTTTGGCAGTTTACCTTAAATTTAATTGTGTCCTCGAACGATAACCAACTAAACACCTCTGAACTAACTGCATATTCATCAGTGCATTCATCAGTGTTCTTTGCGTTTCTTCATAAGCAGACGACTGCGTGAAAAATCTGAACACCTTAGATTGTAATCGATTGATTACTTCCGGGGGACATTACAATTGCAATGCTTGCAAGTATTTCAAGACAAGAAATTTACAAGTGACAGATTGTAGGATTGGTTTATCTCACTCTATTGCTTTGTATATTTATCTAAATTCCGTCTAAGTAATGGAGTTTTATCTAGTTCGTCAATCCTTTCGACATGCACACATTTTTTCTGAGCATACACAATGTTATGTACCAACAATCTTTGCTAGATTGTTAAGCAAGTTGCTGTTTTATACACAAACCAACAGTGGCCTAAACTAAATCTCGGGAGAGCGATCTCGTAAAGAGGGGTGTGTAGTATGATCATTTCAATCGATCTGGCCCGTTAGCATATGACAGCTTGTCGCACTCCCGCAAATAGTTCCGATAGCGGAGAGAACATCAGTGCTTCCGGTCTTGTTATTTGGGGGCAACACACGGTCTGTTACAACATGGTAAAAGTTAATGAACTACGTTGGTCAAATCAAATAAAAAATAAATCACTCTGAGGCGAATGTCTTAAGGCTCCGGGGTGCTTTCCAAAGAATTCAAATGATCAGTGGTTATTTTAAAAAATTTATTTATATACTCATTTACATTCATACACTACTTATTATGACATTATATAAAGATGCTCAAGTCATGCTTTTTGCGGTTAGCAGCATCTAACCACCCTACAAAACATCAAATCATGGTGTTGATTCCTCAATGGACTGGCTCTGAAAGATCTGTCCATCCAAAAATATCTGTTGTCACAAATGAGGTTATTGTGATCAAAATACACTTTCTGGGTACAAGTATATGAATGAAGTGAAAAAAGATTATCGCTTACGCATGCCTGACGAATGGCAAGAACCGCGAAATAGTTCTTGTGCTTTCTAGGAAATTTTGTCCAGTGGTTCGTAAACTAGTTATTATGAAATATATAAATATCTTCGGAGCATAGTATCGAACGAATGTATGAATTCTTCCACCGGTGAAACCTGACAGTCCTTGGTTGTCGTTGCTCCAATGAGAAGTTGAAACGATCCCCTGATCTTAAGCCGACGTTTACATATCCGGCAGAATGAAAAACAGACGGTATTTTATGCTTGTTCCATATGCATAGTTTTCTTCTTCAACGTTGAGTTGGACTTTCGAGTACAAATTTCAAAGCAGTATCCATCAAACTAAGTATCGATGAATGAATAATCACTCCTTAAAGGTAAATGTTTGATGCAGCTTAGCAAAGATGCCCATCCACGGTCCTTCATGAAACAGCTGATTGCAGTCTGACAGATCCTTTCTGTTTTACCGCCTCACAAATTTTCAGAATGCATTCGTGTACCCTTATTTAAATTACTTCAAAATCATCGGGAAAACAGAGCTGTGGCTGTGAACAAAGTTTGGGGATCACATTTTTACGCCATTTTTCAGTGCGGAGAGGCAATCATTTTTGAAGGGATTTCTAAATATATTATTATATTGTGATAAAAAGGGAGGGGGGGGGGTAAATATGACAATATATCGGGAACAGAGTCCAAAGTCTGATCACTTGATGATTAGTTTATTTTCTCAGTGATATCGAGCACCGCCATATCTCTTGTTGGAGAACGTTTAAACTAAATGTGTTATAAAACTCATCGATTTTCGATTCTTGTTGCTGTTTTGTCATGCTAACGGATGAAGATTCATTATCCAAAGACCTTGCCCAAAGGAAGAAAAAATGCTTGTTTCTGATTGAATTAAATCACATTTTAAAGGTGAATAGACAAGAAAGTTGAACTGATTAGACATTGACACCATGCTGACTGAATTCAATGGTGCAAATTCATAATGCTCGGGCAGTCCGTTTGTGTGTGTGTGTGTGTGTGTGTGCATGTGTGTGGCGAATTTTTGCACTGTGATCCGCTATGATTGCTGCAACTGATCTGTAACATTTTTCGGCAAAAAAATTTGGCCCGAACATTTTCAATTTCGAACAAAACTTTAGAGAAAAAGCAAAACAAAAGCAAATCTACTCAGTCATTAGGCTAGTGATGAACTGAGAGGTGCTTGGTTTTTCTGCACCTCTGAGCTCAGCCACCATGAAGTCCTGGTGCACGAGAAACCGTTTTGGATACAGTTCGAGCGTGTGTGTGTGCGGGGGTAGTGAGCAGAGGATACGAGAACAGTGTGTATTGTATCTTATTGGCTTAGACTTTCAAGTGACCACATTTCAATCACCGCACAACACGTTTTTATCGTATCTGAAAGCAATAAAAACAATCTCTGAAAAGGTGACTGTCAAAAAGCGCTGAGAAATGTGACGGGAACCTGCACCCGATTCATGAGGAGTTGAGCGCAAATGCGGTGGTTTCGATGGATGTTAATTAGCAAGGGTAGAAAACGAAACGCAGAACGTGTTGAAGCGTAAGTGTGGAACTTGTATCGATTTCCCATTGCAGAAAGGGTGGAGTCAGGAAATAGTTTGCATTGGAAATATTCCACATGCAGACGGTTTTGTAGGTAGTTCATGAAAGGACACAACCGAACCGACTGATAATTGGTGATCAGGAGGAAACGATTTAAAAACCTTTCCAACAGAAACAAATGAAAATACTGAAGGAACAGTGGAGACAAATAGGGAAGAAAGGTAGATAGAAACAAGGAAACTTGCAACTCACATCTTACAAAGGAATTCTCTGGGTCTTCATTTTTGAAAAAGTAATCCTCGAGTTTCATTTACACAAGTATAAACACGGGATGTCTAACTTAGATTTACATCGATGATTACCCGTGATTAATGAAGAAAATTTACTCCAGCGAGATGTTTTCTATGAGTGAACTAGCTAGCACGAAAGACCCCTCATNTCACACAGAGTGAAGGTCAATCCGGATTGTGTAGAAGTATCATATATTGGGCAGACATTTCTGGGAACTTTTCAAATCCTCAGTCGGAAAAATAGCCTGAAAACAGGTTACATTGACAGCATATTTAAATAAAGGCTTCCGGGTATTCGTAGATAAATCATTTATATATCTAGAAACTATAAACGAATAAAGACAACTTCACGAAGTATGCTGGAATCATTCAACTGAACTTGGGATACTATGACATCCAAACGAATCAACTGACATCATGTGTCATATTCCTAGCGTTCGATTGATCTTTATATGAAAAGATGGGTCACAATTCTTGATGTCATCATCATGTGACAGAATTAAGGATCAGGTTCACCTTCCAGATCCGCTCAAGGCTAGGAAGCTGCAATGGCATACTAGTTCGGTTTGTGCATATATTGAGGGGTTCAGTAACCTTAATGTTACTGCTTCTGCCATTGCTAATCGGCCTTGTCATACGAGCTTCAACCCGTTAGGAAGTACTCAGTGTATGACCGACTTCCATGTCCGGTTTCTGTGAAGTTAATCTCCATCGTGCTGATTCATGTTTTCAATTCGATCTTCGCTATTTAGTTCTCTGTGATACATGCTTTGCTGCACAGATACAAGCGAACTAATAGGTAGCCGTTGCCTGGGTTGGGACGGATAGTTTAGCTTTGAGATACGTGCGCGAGGTTAACCGGCTGAGGACAGTAAAGTACCTAACTAACGACATTTCTGACAAATGGGGAGTTTTAATTTGCGAAGGTGAATGAAACGGGCAACCGAGTTAAAATATATCCTGCAGATTTCACAGATGCGTCTTAGGACATAATGAGATGATGACTTGGGGAAGCGACGATGCTCGATATGGATTGGCCTGATTTACGGGCCAATTGGTTTTATTGAGCAATTAGCGAGGTAGAAGTGCGACGCATTAGGATATAAGTTTATGCCAGTTTAATGCAAGAACTATGGAACCGCAGCGTATGACTAGAACACTGGATTTATGAGGCTCAGAAATGGGAACAAGAGTGATCAATTAAATCTCAGTGGACGAGAGTGACACGTGATGAGTAGTTGGAAGGGATTTAGAAAACCAATTGAAAACAACGTACAGGAGAAATGTTGAAAAACCGCTAAAGTGATCTTAAGTAAAACATTTCCTGGTGTCTTTTGATTATAATTTGTGCTTCTCGGTAGTTTTTGAACTTTGTTTATTCTATATGTTCTAAATGCTGTTTATAGGATGATAAATAAACTCAGAGTCTATTGCAAAATTAATTTAAATATTGTATTTCGACCAGGCAACCACTGCTTGCACAACAAACAAGAAAAAATAAACGAATGCACGATGAGAAATCTTTCTTGGAAAAGGAAATTAAAATCAATAGATTAGTCAACCGGTTATGGAACTAAGCGGACCCACACTTTTCGGAACCGACCAAGTACCATACATCTTGATGAGATCGATTATGTGAGATGTTACAAACAGATCAGAGGAGTTGCAATTTTGACAGATCACACAAATCATTGATACGTTTTTCTTTTTCAACGAACCTCCTCTTTGTTTGTCTTTCAAGTCTTAATCCAGTGCAACTCACAACCGTCTCTATCCCGTTCCCGACTCAAACGCACAACCGCACCTCGAAAGCACGTTCCCTGTCGAGCAGATCGCATAATCGGTTCACTGTGCCCGTGGTGGAAATCAATTTACCCAGATACGTTCCGACCCCAATGCGCACGGTCAGCCCGATCCCGCAAGATATTCGCGAGAAATTGCTCCCGATTTGTGTTCCCAACCGAACTGACGCAATCTCGGTCCCTCGGACAACCGAGTCCACGGAACGATTGACTGGACCGATCGCTCCCAATCAGCTACAACTAACCAAGGCAACCGTGCATGGAACAGCCACATCCGATTCGACAACGTGGAATCTTCAGGGAATTGATTCAGGTATTCCGGACTTGTATACGGTGTAAAAATACAATTTTTGTTCACAAGGGAACTTGTGTGTGCGTGGGTGTATGTGTATGTGTGTGCTCAAGTTTTTCATTGTAACCTCAATGTAACTACTTTTTACGTCTGCGTGAATTCATTTTCCATCGAAAATTGAATAGACTGAGTCTTTTTTGTGTATACACAAAATGGAACGAAACACTGCTTGTCGAAAAGAAATTCGATAGGGGAAAAAACGAAACCAGACAAATAAGATCAAATATCTGAAGTATGTAAACGACCAAAATGAACATGTCCGGATTGGACAGTTTGATTTTGATCATTGTAGTTTTCGGATGTTCAGGTACCCTTGCTGTTTTTCTTAGAGATCACTTGATCATGAAGTCAGTTATCGAAAATTTTTAAACGTATTGCGGTGAACAAGTCTGGGGTTCATAAACTAAATGCACTTGTGGTTTTGTGTTTGTGTGCTTGTGGCACGAGGACGGGGGTGGGGTGGGGAGGGGAGTAAGGTGTTGTGAACAAAGCAGGTGCAAAGCGAGAAAGGAACTGTGGTTTCTGACAGTGCAGAGACGGAAATACAGTAAAGGAAACGGTTAATATTAGGGCAATCAATCCAATGGTGGTGGTGGTGCTGGAGTGTGTGTGGTTCCAGACCGTTGTATCAGTGGGGAATGCTGATCATGCTAGAACCAAGTTGACTCCTGTATAAGCCGTACCGTGTGAAACATTTGAAATATTATTTTCTGAATTTGGGTATTACTCAACAGACCGGTCGCTCGACGACCCATCGTTTGTAAGTATTTGATGATAGCTGTTTTTTTCCCTCATGGGAGAGCTTTTGAAATGCGTCCAGATGTCAGAGGTCACAAAGAACGTTGTTTATTTGCTGGTTCACTCGGTGAACCAATAAGCAAGTTGCAAACAAAATACACGTTTTGTTCCTTTTTTATTAGGGCAGCAGCGATCAGAAAAAGTAAACAAGTCCACCGGATCCGGAATTTCAGCTTTGTATGGAAAAGTCCTATGTGTTCATCAGAAAAAGAACTGTACGTGAACAGGTTTGATGTCGTAGCTTCCTCCTTAGGCGTGCACCGTTATATGAGTGTTTATATACATGGTGGCTACAAAAAAGAGGCTAACTGTTGTGAGGAGACAGAGGGTTGTGCCGTGCTTCGATCACACAACCAGGACTTAGCAAAACAAACCAGTTCGAGATACGGTGCAGTTAAACTACAGCCGAATGGCATGGTTCATGGAAATGTGATTTCTTCTTTCACGCGACTGATATCATAGCGAGCAGAATAAATATAAGCTGGTTTTTATTTTATTTTAGTTACAAAACTATTTATAATAAACAGTTTTGTAATCATATAAACCTCCGGTGTCCAAGCGGTTAAGATCACCGTTCCATCTACCCCGAGATCATTGGTTCGAATCTTGCTACCATTGCTCACTTCCCCGTGTCTGAATTTCCCAGACAACTTTCGACTGGCCACAGCCACCTTCCTGAGAATCAACGGCAACAATGTTTTATTCATTTAATGGAAGAAAGTGAAAAGATTATTATTATGATTGATGTGTCACCGAAGATAATGGTTGTTACTAATCTGCTTCAAACATTTTTACTGAAAAGTTTACTTCAGATGAATGAACAGCGCACATCTCTGTGATTCATGATACGCCTCGACAGCGTATGTTGACAACATTCAATTTTATCAAATGATAAACGTGGTAACATTCATCACTTGGTAATCAAGATGTTTTGGAAGGTCACGCAAATAATTGTTTGTTTGTATGTGTATGTATGTATGTATGTATGTATGTATGTATGTATGTATGTATGTATGTATGTATGTGTATGTATGTATGTATGTATGTATGTATGTATGTATGTATGTATGTATGTATGTATGTATGCATATATGTATGTATATATGTATGTAGATACGTAATTTATGGATGTATCAATGGGTGCGATTCTTCTATCCGAGCATTTTGGAGAAAAGCACTCTCACTAGATGTTGGGTGGGATAGAAACCTTCACTCGACAGACGTCTATGGAGAGCAAACTTCTATTCTTTGCACAACTAGGTGCGAACTGCTAGGCATCAGTGCGTTGGTGCATCCTTTTCTATCACTGAAAAATATCTCAGTTGGTATCTAATTAATTTTATATCTTGAATTCTTTTCCATCCTTTTTATTGAATGAACCTTAACTTCACTGATTTTCGGGAAAAGGGGATAGCATAATAAACTGGCTGTTCTGTAGTACAATGAAATTCAAAAGGTTAAGCGGTGGAGGTTGGGTTCTAATCAATGACCACCGGGACAATACGGTGCTGACCAGAACTGCTTGGCTGCAGACGTTACCCCGGAATCACTGGATCTCTTTAAGGTGAATAGATTTCTTTTATAGTTATTGGATCCGTTGGTATATCTTGTCTCAGCACTAAACGAGTAGCTGCTTTTGCATGCTGTACACTGTAACCCCAAGGGTTTTAGGTTTTATTCGTCAAGAAACCTGTGTGAACCGCCTATAGAGCGATTGGTTGGTGCTAAATATCTCAAACTTCCAGTGGAACGGGTGAGAGTCCAGTAAATGGTGAATACCGAAAAAGTGCTATACGCCCCAAGGAGCATGGCAGTTTACCCGCTCAGAAGTACAACTCCTCTCAGCCAGCTCCTGCACTCCATGCATCTATACATATGCATATGTAAGTGCATGTGTAAATATCGAGTAGAATAATTATTTGCACATGCCTGCAAGCTAATTTTTGAGATGTTCAGTGAAAACAAAGCCATCATTATTGAGTACTTGTATATTCCGTATATTTTATCGGAATAACGCCCAGGGTTCTGAACAGTCTTACCAAGTAAATTTACCATGAATCACATGAAACGAACACTTCCCATCGTGCTATAGCCTTTGATGCAATTCATCTCAGGAGGTTGTTGTTGTCATCCGTGTCTCCCGCTGCTAAAATAATCACCCAAAGATAATCTTAGATATATATATATATATATTTACCACCGGCTTGTAGACAAGCATGGTGCCAACGCGACAACAATAATAACAATAACAATAACAGGGGCCAGGTGGACTGGGGTACAGAACAGAGTGAAAAGGGGGTGGAACAGTTAAACACGGGAAAGCAGAAGATAACTGGGATAACAAAACTTTTTTTGTGTTTCACCGTACACCTTTGGATACATATTGTGTTGTTTGTTGTATTTTACGGGGCACGGGATTTCGACAAGCAGCATTCGCGCCACTAGCTTCTATTCTGGGCCATATCTCTCAGCGTCCCTAACCAACGGCAATCTTCATCCCTTGGGCCCCAAACTGGAAGGCGGGCTGCACCAACCGAAGCCAAAGCTGAAGCCAGCTCCTTCATGCCTCTAGCCCATGTCATGGCCTGACCACCGCGCCGTTTTTTCCAGCCTTGCCACGCACGCGCGAAGAGAGCACGGAAAGGTAGCCGATGGGTAGGCATACGCAATACGTGACCAAGCCATCGGAGGCGGTGTAAAGCGATTACTTCTGTTAGAGAACGACTATCCGCACACAACAAATGACACCGAAACTCTTCATTACTCACCCGGTTTTCCCACGAGACATGAGCAATGCTTCGGAGACATCGGTGGTCAAATACAGAAAGTCGATTAGCATCCTCGATGTGGAGGGGCCAGGTCTCGCAACCGCAAAGGAGAACACTACGAACCGCGGCGATGTACACCTTTCCCTTAAGGGACAGTTGGATGTCATGGAAGCGCCACAGGTGTCGGAGGTTGGTGAAAGCTGCTCTAGCTTCCGCTATTCGTGGTGTGATCTCCTCCCCACCACCCCCACAAGTTGCGATCAAGCTCCCGAGGTACTTAAAGCTCTCAAATACTACCAGCTGATCACCAACGATGGTGAGTGCAGGCACTGATGGTGCAAAGCACATACCATACCCGGAAAGCTCTATCGCCAAGCGGTTCAAAGCGTTTTGGACTGCTTGTGTGTTGTCATCAAGCAAGGTGGTCATCGGCATATTCCAAGTCAAGAACTCTGTTCCCTGGGAGGAGTTCGACTGTGCTGTTTGCTAGACCGGACAAGGCATTCTATAGAAAATTCTCTATGCCGAAGTTGAAAAGGAATGGGGATATAGGGCAGCCTTGCCGAACTCCACTAGAGACAGTGAAGAATGACTAAAGTTGGCCATAGACCCTAACTCGACCTGAGATATGACGATACAACTCTTTGAGGATCGACATATACTTCTCAGGTACTACTACTACTACTACCACTACTACTACTACTACTACTACTACTACTACTACTACAGAGTCGAAGGCCACGCGGATGTCTAAGAATACAATGATCGTTGGTCTTGGGTAGGCATGACGGTGCTTTAGCAGCTGTCGGAGGGTGAAGATTTGACCGATGCATCAATGACCGGCACGAAACCCAGCCTGCTCCTCACGAGTCTGCTCCTCACACGTAATGTATAATCGGCGGAGAATGACAGACATCAACAGCTTTGACGCTATTGGGATAAGGCTTATACCACTATGATTGGCGCAGTCATTGCGCGGGCCCTTTTTGAAGATGGGGACAACAATCGATTCCTCCCACGAGGAAGGGACTTGCTCAGTGTTCCACATTTTAGAGAACAGAACTTGTAGTTCTCTAAAAAGCTTTATTCCACCATCTTTAAATCGAGCAGAGGGAAGGTCATCGGAACCCGGCGCTTTGTGACGTCCCAAGGCTTGGATCTCATTACGGATTTCCGCCTCAGAAGGTGGGTCTGTTGAAACACACCATGGGACGTGTGCCGGAATAGCTGTGTGAGAAGCTGACGCTGGTGGCCAACTGAATTGTACTTCGAAGTGCTCTGCCCAGCGTGCAAGGCGTCGCTGTTTATTATGATTGGGCGAACCGTCAGCTTCGCAGATCGTTTCGCTCATACCTAAGGCTTTCCTACCGGTGATCCGAATGAGATGGAACAGCTTACGGGACTTACCCATGGCGGCAGCA